CCAGGGAGAAGCACAACCACACACAGTTTTTTTAGACTTGCCTCATTTATGAACTTTTTCATCCTTCAGTAACTAGAGAAGTTAACTCCATTTACATGAGGCAGCCTGCAATTATTACAAGACTCACTGAAAACACCCCCCTCTCCTTGCCAGCCCGTCCTTCAGCGACCTGCTCCCAGTCAGATGTGAAAGGCAGACCAGGCACAGCCTCCTCCACTGGACTTCACGGGGCTGGGTGCCTGCCTGGGTTTCACCTCGACCTGCTGAATCCAACTGCTGACCCCACCCTGGCACCGGCTGTGTGCTGCACTTACCTCTCTGAACATGTCTTACTGCCTTCCCACATGGCAGGGCAGATTTCCTGTTTTCATACATTGCCTTGTCAGCCCTAATCAGTGTCAATAGGTTATGGTGTCTTTTGTGCTGGCGGCGTCAGCCGTGACAGGAAAGAACTTTTAATCTCTTCCCTCACACCGAGCCATGAGAAGCTGCAGGCGCTCCCAGGCATAACTCCCTTGGCTCCTCTCCGAAAAATTCTCTCAAGCACTCGGTTGCTTAGCAATATTTGCCTTCCCCCTGTACAGTTCAAATTGGCAACATCTGTCCTTTTGGCACTTTCCACTTGTGCAAGAAACGGTACGGAGAGTTTCAGAAATCTACAGAGAGGTTGGTGGAAGATGATTCACGTGAGCTATCAAGATGCTTTGGCATTTTATTGCTGGTTTATTTCTAGCCTGGATAGAAAGTGTGGCTTCTTCCAAAGGAGATGCACACAAGGGAAAATCCTCTTTTGCATCCGGTGGGACTCACCTACTAAATCAAATACAAGTAGCTTTTTCTGTTTACATAACTACACCCACATGCTCTGGATTGGCTTAGCTGAAAAAACCCAAACAAAACACAGCACTGACATACAATTCTTTCCTGTCAACTGGGATTGACTGTGACTTCTAAGGTATTGCATGCTCACCAAGTAAGATAAAACAAGAGAAGCCAAGATGTGTTTATGGATTTAAAAATGAAAAAGCTGTGTGCAATCCTGACCTCATAACTGCTAGTCAAACCCCCAAATTGCCTGTGGGCCATGCAACCATCCCAAGGGACAGTGATCAAGGTCATTGCCTCTGGATCTACCCACAACCCAGAAAATGAGGGCAACAAGAAATTAAAATAATGTAAGAGCATAAAAACTACCAACTGTTTCACTTCTGAGAGCCAAAAGGGAATATGGAGAAGGCCCAAGTGAAGGGATTTGTCTTTGGGCACTTGGTATTACAATAAGCAGCAGAGAATCCTACAGTAAACCTTCCTCTGGCTGCAATTCATTTCTCACACCACAATGCCCAAGGGTTGTGAGAAAGGCCTTGGATGGCACAGCTTTGGATATTGACATGCAAGTTGCCAGGGATGCTTACCAAAAATTAGATAGCTCAGTTTCAGCTTTTAGGGTGAGGTTGAGGTTTGCTTTTTTGCCTTTAAAATTTTTCTTACCCAAAACAGTCAGAAAAAGTAGCAATTCTCATTCACGTTTGATCTGCTTCTTCAGCAGTCCCACACCATCAACAAGACACAAGTCAAAATTGACACAATGCATGTGGGGAAGCATGGAAACCCTTCTCCAATCACCTAAAACACTTCTGATTATAAACAAGCAGCAGAGGAGACACAGAAGTAACATCTTATAACCTGTCTTGGTACAAAACACGGAAAATAAAATAGTCAAAAAAAGGAATACAAGAGGAGAGGGAAAAAAGCCCCAAACAAAACATAATCTCCCTTCTATTCAGTAAATTAGTAAATACATAAAAGATTGGTAGAAAGATGACAATAGCTTAATGCTAACTACTGTGTGTTCATGACACAAGGCAAACAGTGCTACATATGTCTTCGAAGCTTTTCATTTTGAAAGGATGCAGGATTAAAACAATGTATTTATTTCTACTTTACAGGGTTCATCTGTCTGACAACTCCTGCCAGTAGAAAAACAGGTGCCATGAAGAGAAGTGCAGTGAAAAATTATCTGCCCAGAAAAGACTTTTTATATTTGCCATCTAAACATCTTTGCAGGTATTTAGTAATTACTACTTACTATATAACAACCACGTTTTAACTGGAGAACACTGTTAACTGTTTACTGAGGAAAACACGGCTGTTTCATTGTTGCTTGTTGTTGTTCAAGAGTTCTAAATTGGCTGCTTTCCTCTTTGGGCCTCATTACTTGAGGTAAAAGGAGCTAGTTCTAACCCACCCAAAATTTTTTGAGAAAACAAAGCCAAATCTTCAATGAGCATCAAGGGCCATACATTCCTGCATACACTATGCCCTTAAAAATGCTTGAGGATTTATAAACACTCTCCCTCAAAACAGCCTGACTGCTTCTTCCCCTGCTGTCAAGCTGATTCCCTTTCACACATCACAGTCTGTGTCAATGGAGGCAATACAAGGGGCTTTGTTGGTGCTGCAGCTCTCCTAAAGACATGGAGAGAGAGAACTTAAAGCATCTTTGTTTAGGTGCTAAGGAAGAGGTAAAACCTGGCACATAAAGAGAAGGGATACATCCAAGCTTCTCCATGTGCACTATATTTTTAAGCCTTCTCACAACAAATTTGGAAAGATGCGTTAAAGGGGTAGTGATGACATTTGAAAGTGAAGGCTTTGATTTGGAGAAGAGGGGACAGAGCTGTTCTGTGTCTCTGTGAATGCAAAGTGAGTCACTGCACTGTTATCCACTGTGGATTCATACACTCTGCAGTGAAACTGTGCATCTAGTTGGCCTGGAAGGCTGAACTTTTCAATGTTCCCATGAGCAGAAGCTGTCAATAATGAATTCACAGCTGCAGGTGAAACACGCCTTAGAAATTCAATTAACCAGAACACACGTTGAGGAAATGGCTTTCCTAAGTCATGTCAAGGGAGATCACAGGAAAAACTATATTTGGCATGTGGCTGTTCAGTAAACTGGGGCCTAAAAGTTCAGGGAAGAAGAGGGAAGAACAGCAGCTTCTGCTAGTCTAGACCTATTCACTGTCAGGGTCATTGCAGGGCAGGAGCCCCCCTGCAGCTCCTGTTTCACCACGAACTAAAGAGAGGAACGATCTTTCAGCCAACAGAGCCCCAACCAGCCTCTCTTGTACAGCACATCCAGGCCATATATCCAGGAGTGCCACCTCACTGTTTCTTCCTCTTCTCCCTCCAGGCTTCAGCCCTGGAGGGCTCTATCATCAAATAGATGTTCATCACAGAGACCAAACAGAAGTAAACAAATGTGACAATGACAAGACTGAAGAAAGCAGAAAAAGTAATGCATTTTTCACTAGAGCTTACAGAGCCATTACCCAAAATGGCTGTATTCCTCCCTGGCTATGCACAGAAAACAATCAGGGCCACAGTCTAAAGATCCCTACTGCACAGCAGGATCATTCAGCATATTCACAAAAAAAGGTTCCTCAATCAGCTTCAAAATGGACTAAGCATATAATAAAAACCAGGGTCCTGGCTTGTGCAAAAACCATTTTAAAATCTTCAATTTCCTTTTCATTGTGTTCTTACTTTGCCACAGACGAAACAGAAAGAGCAGGAGCAATGCTACTCCTGCACTGGCAACTGTAGGAATTTCATGGGCATTTGGACTCAGACTCACGTGCTCAACAGAAAGCGAAAAAAAGGTTTCATTCACCACACAGCATCATAGCTAATGCTGCCCTATCAAAATTCGTATTAAACTAGAGTTACATGAGATGACAGAAGAAGAATGGGGATGGGAAAAGAGATAAGACAATAATGCAGATGAGACAACAAGATAATGTCGGTGATGCCCTCCATTGCTTTATTTCTGTCCCAGGAGTAAAATCTGGTTAAGCAAATAAGGTAATGTGGACGTCAGTGAACTTCCTGTTTTGAGGTGTGATGTGCAATGCCAAACCTACTTGGTAGCAAATAAAGTCTCTCAGCACGAGAGTACTTTCACAACTTCGCAACAATGTCATTTTGACAGTTTCCTCTCATTTCCCACAAGATACTGCCTACAGCCATTTGCGGCTGATCCACACCCTTTTCCATGAAAAATAGACTGCACCCACACTCTTCCTTTTCATTACAAAGGTGGCAAAAGACAATTTGAAACAATCTCTTGCCCAGGTGCCTTAGGACCATGGGATCCTACATCCCATAGCACATAGCAATAACCTCAGGGCTGAAGGGTGGGCACGGTCAATATCCAAAATGTATCAGGGGGACCAAGTACCTTTGAGCTCACAGGAGGCCAAGTCACAAGGCAGGCAGAGTCAGTGTTCTGGCCCCCTGGCACAGCTGAAACTGGGCTTCAAAGGGCAAAGGAAAAGGAGCTGCATTTGCTGAACAGCATGTTTGCTGCTCCTCCTCTCCCACTGTTTTACCAGTCAGGGCTTCTGCCTTCATCCCACAGGACAAATCAGAGAGGTGGCCCTGGGTCAGCAAAAACATGTGGAGTACAACAAGGAAACTTGCAGTATCAAGTCATACTTTCCTGTGGGTCTACAGTGAGATTTTACAAACTTGCAGAGGAGAATCCTGTGGTGTTCACAGTCCCTTATCACAAAGCCCAGGTGACCACAGAATCTAATGCATTGCTACTGTCCCACTATTCAGTGAGGATTTGGGGTCTCCACCCACCACCATTCAGAGTCCTGACACTGCATCAACACTTGATCTTCTCATCATATTTTCCCCTTCTTTTCAACAAGCCTTAGAGGAAAACAAAAATTATGGGCACTGAGGCAGGCTCGAATCATAAAACCTGCTGCAGCCTCACTGAGAAAACAACAGAAAAATCAAAGGAAATGTCTGATTTTCACCATTTAAACAGTTATCTCACACCCAGGTCAGCCTCAAAATGCACCTTCCAAACAGGGTAACACACACAGAGTCATCACTGCTTCTGGCAACCACTGCAGTTTGATGACCTGTTCTCCCACAGCCAAACTTACGCTGCTCCAACAGACATCCCCAAAAATTGCACTCACCTCTATGGGCTCAGAAGGGGTTTCAAATTTGGATAGTTCTGCTTTGGCTTTGGCCTTCAAATCTGAGAGATCGTCATCAGCCTCCTTCTTGGGCTCAGAAGGCATTTCCAACTTGGATAGTTCAGCTTTAACTTTTGCCTTCAAATCCGAGACATCTTCATTGGGTCCTTCATGGTATTCCTCCAGGAGAGGTTTGAGCTCCAGGGATTCAAATGGTGCCTGATCTTGGCCATCCATGGGTCTGACATAGGCAGTTGGTTTCTGCTGCATTGCACTGACTTTTGATGTCAAAGAAGGGGGAAAAGTCTGAGAGGAAGGCTGAGTGGTGCTGGTCAAGGTAACGGCTGGGCTGTCCCGACTTTCCTTCTCCTGTGATCCTGTCACTAAGTCCTGTAATGATTTGGTTTGACTGTAGGTTGACCCGTGACTTTTGCTGCTGTTCTGCGACCTGGAATTGATATTCTGGCTGGAATGTAGAGGTGACAGGGGTGCCACAGGAGAAGACAACAAACATGGCAGGAACGGGGAGAGTGCCAGAGGGGAGGCCTGCAGGCCATGAGCATGACCTTCCCCGCTGCCAGGCTTGTCACTGTGGCTGTGGGGAAAACCTGCCTGAGTGTCCCGGCCAGCCCGGCCGTGTTCCTGACCGTGGCTCCGAGCGCTGGGCAAGCTGCGGCTCTTGCTGTGCAAACCTGAAGCTGGTTCTGTTCCTGGCTGTGCCTTTTGGTAGTGACTGGAGTGGCTTGGAGGACGAGGAGGTACAACCATGGGTCCCATGGGAGGACGGCGGGGCAGGTGCTGGAATGAAGATGGCAATGTACGGATGGCCTTCTCAGGGAAGTACGGGCGATCAGGCTGTCCGGGGGGAAACAGAGGGGCAACGCTCTTTGGAATCCCTATAAGGTTTTGACAAGATTTGTTGCTCATGAACTCCTTGACCTCCTCATAATTGCCCAGCATGTTCTGAATTCGGCTTGACAACTCATCTTCTTTATTAGTCTGCAACAGAAGAACAAAGAGGTGGATATTTCAAAAGCCCCCCAAGAGATCCAGCTCAGGAAGAGACATTCTTCAAGATTTTAACTTAATCACCACACATCACCGTGAGTGAAGTTAGGCAAACTCATCTTGAGCCTGCAGATCTCTCCAAAGAAGACAGGACTGCTTGAGCCACTATCAGCTATTCCAAGCCAAGCTTGGTGCATCTGCAGCCTCCAGGAATGCTAACATCAGATTCATTTGTAATACCCACAGCTGCAGGCAGACAGGCAGCCAAGCTGCTCCTGAGCACTCTCCCTCAAACTACAGGAGGCCAGCCCAAAGTCCATACTGCCCTTGCACAACAAACAGAGATTCAAACACATACTCTGAGGAATTTAAATTAAGCAGATGGCAAGATGCTGTGTTTGTATTTATCGTGCTCAAGTCTGCTACACTCTATGCAGAGCCACAGCTCTCCTCTTCCACCCCAACCCTCTTTCCTCCTCTCTTCCCCTCCCCCCACACCCCGTACCATTACCTTGTAGGGTTCTGCAAAGAGGGGAGTCTTCTCAGAAAACTGCTTTTTGTCTTCCAGAGCCTCCTGACTCCGTCTCTCTTTCTCTCGAATCCGCAGCAAGTTTCTGTCCTCATTGCACAAGCTTTAGGAAGGAGAGAAGGGAAGGATGATTAACATTGTACATCACTGTTATCAACAAGTATTTACTTTGTACAGAAACCCTGGTTTCAGACAATGGCATACATCCAGAATGAAAGTAATTTTGAAATCCACGGAATGGTTACAGCTGACAAATCAGTTACATCAAGAATTTGCTGCACAACACAGTAATGTGGCACACAAGGTACATGCATACTTCTCAGTGATTTCTACTCCTGATACCATCCTTCAAGAACAGTGGGAAGGAAAAAGCTATCCATCCATTTCATTGTGAAACAAATTGAGGAGCAGTCAGTGGGGGTGACGAGCACACCAGCTGGCAAATCCATTTGCAACAATAAGTGTGAAAAGCTACCATTCTAGTTCTTCAGACTTCCACCCCAGCACTTCGCCCAGGGGTAAAAGAAAATCCATTATTTTGAAGGTGTTGCTGCTTTCAAAGAATGAACTTTGCCTACTCGGCAAAAAAACAAGGCAACGCTACTTGGCAATAAACAGGCTTGAAAGCTGCTCACCAGGAAATCCATGCAGTTGCATTTAAAGCAATCACACAAACGTATTTAGAAAGGTCTCAGAAACTCAGAAAACACCAGATCAAATTCCCCTGTTCCTCCTCAACCACATCTGCATGCACTCAACTCCACACCAAAGCACCAATAAACCTGTGTCACATGCACAGCAGAAAGACTTCATGGAAAGCCAGATCCTTTAAACTACACCTTGCCTGTGAAATTTTACTGCAAAACAAGGGAATCTCTTGCTCTAATCTTTATAGACATTGGGGAAGGAAAAGCATGCAGACATCTCTCTCCTGTCCTATTTCTACTCTACTGCACAGTCTACTGTATACATACAATTATTATATTCTTCTTCATACTCACAAATTCTCAGGTGTCCACTTTGCAAGGGAAAAGCCTTGTCATCCCCACCAGTGACATCTTCCCAAATGCTACATCAATAACCACCTACTGAAAGTTTAATCATCCCTAGAGGAGAGGAAGAGGACTGGCTTTGCTGTAGCAGTTAACCAAGAGGTCTGACTGCTGCAGAGGGGGTTTCCTGACTCAATGGGAGCTCTAGAAAATGATGCTGACAGATGGCAAATTTCTTTATATGGAACTGCGGTAAGGATGTACTTGTGCCACTAAGGCAGAAAAACACATGCAGGGGTTAGACTGCGCACATTTAGCATAGTTTCCAACTTTGGTAGTGCCAAACTCTTTCCAAATATAGCAAAACAGAAGTGTCCAGTAATATATATACACCCTACTTCTGCAAACAATTTTAAATGTTCATAAAATAAAAAAGAAGAAACCAGGAATCATAGACCACTGCCTCAGTAAATACATACAAGTCTTCTGTAATAAACTGTATAATAGAACCATTTCCCCTGTGCATCTGATGTCATTTTGCATGTCATCAATTTCCTATCTATAAGCAATTCGTTGGGCAGTTGCACTGTATGCGTCAGAAAAGCTTTGTGCAGTCAGGTGTAGGAAATACCAAATGCAAAACACAAAAACTTAGGAAAAATTATAAGGCAGACTGGAAGCAATCTTGGCTATATCTACTATCTGAAATTGTATGCTGGTAAATGATTTTTTTTTTTAAGTGAATGTGTTTCATAAAAAGGCAGGCCACATATTATGACCCTGAAAATTGCTTTTTACTAAAACACTGTGCTTACATCCTTGTGGATTACGGATGTCCTTCTATTTCTAGGCTGGCAAGCACCCAAATTCAGAGTAATCAAGTTGTTTTGCTGAGAGGTTCTGATCACGTTCAAATAAAAGGAAAACCCTAAACCACTTGAGTCTCTCACAACAATAATATTTATGCTGAAAAGTAGGTATGTTTCCTATATGTACCCTGACACTGAGTGTAAAACAACTTACGTGCTGCTTGCTGCAAAGACAGCAGCTGTAATACTTCTAAAGGCCTTTTCTTTCCCTGAACCTTCCTTGACCCCAAGCTCTCTTCCCAGCAATAAATTCTTTCTAAAGACTGTGGAGGCAGGGCAGAGGGGAAGGGCAGGGACACCGCCTATTTGCCACAGTGCCAGTTCCTGAGGGTTTAAGAGGAGACAAAGGTGCCTGCTCGGGAACATCCCAGCGGACACGGGTGCTCGCACACGTACGGGGCAGTGCTCGGTGAGGTCAATCTTCACACTCTCCCACGCCTCAGTGGCCCGGGCTGCTGGCCATGCACAGCCCAGTGCCCCTGCCGCCAGGCCAGGGGTCATTCCCCTCGCCTTTGCTGCTCAGGATCGCCAGCCACCCTCTGCCTCCCTGTCTGAATCGGGTCAATGCGATTTTCATTCCGAATTTTCCTCCAACTTCATTGAACAGAAGGAGCTACCATTTCAAAAGCAGAAGGATAAGGGGAAAAAAACCCACTAAGTAGCTACTAATTTAATAACGCCATTGAGACCAGCAGCCTTCCCTTCTCTAAGTTGCAGACAAGACCTTAAACTACGCTAAAACCTCTTCCAATTCTATTTTATCATATAGGTGTCATGAAAATCTTTTGAAAACCAGGGCTATGCTGTAACTCACACGGCAGCTACCCTAAGGTCAAGTGTCAGGAAGCCAGGCAGAAAGTCGCTGAGAACCACGGCCAGCTCGGGCCCCGTGTGGCCCCGTGCCAAGAGGAGAGGAGGTCTCCATGTCCTGCCAGGCGCCAGCGAGGAAACCCGTGTGGAGACGCCGCCTGCCAGGCTCCGGCACGGCGTCCCCCGTGCACACACTGCTCCTGCCCTGCTACTGCCAACGCTGCAGGGAGAACCCCAACTCCTGCTCTTCAGGAACCTCCTCAGACTCACAGCTTTGATATTCAGGTTTTCCTAGAATGAGAACTCAAGAAAAACCTCAAAACTACCCCCAAGCTCTTCCTTACTGGTTTGCAGAAATGCTTTGGGAAACTGGACCTTGAGGCTTGGCACCAACACACCAAGCACTTGGGAGCCTGGGAGTTGGGGGTACATGCACAAATCACCCCTACCAAAAAAAAAAAAAAAAACCAAATTGTGCCTTGATATAGACTGAAATAGCAGAATTCTGCTAGGCTCAAAGCAGCCCAAGGTGAAGGCACTGCACTGGCTCCCATAATAAGGGATTTGGTTCAGGAAATTCAGCAGAGCACGTACCCTGACCCACAACATCATCCAGACTTGGGTCTGTAACAGAAGCCATAAAATACCGACGTGCTCTGAAGCTGCTCTCAGTGACATGCCAACCCTTACTACATAGGTTCAAATGCTGGTATGTGACAATCCAGACCATGACAACATTTTCAAAAAATAGACTAGTGCAGGAAGAAATTCTGCCTCTTCTGTCCCGTGTGTTCTCCAAATAAAAATGAAATTAAAATAAAAATCTGCTTTAGTTATAGTAAGATCTACTGCTGGCTCCCAGAAGGAATTATCCCAGAGTGAGGAAGGGAGGTGAAGAAAGTCGAAAAAGGAAATATACAGAAAACATTCACTTCCCTCTCAACATGCAGAACCTCTTCCTCTGAAACCCTGAGACACAACATTTCATTTTAGTACAACTGCAGGAAAGCACAAATGTATTGAAGCTCTTTTGTCATTAAAATTGAGTTCTTTTCTAAGGTGAGAAACTGCTCTCATGACTGAGAGACGTATTTTTGCTTAAGGCAAGACACATCATCCCCAAAAACAATTAAACAGAGATCACAAGGAAGCTTCACAACAGCCTTGCTGCAGCACGCTGGCTCTGTTCCTATTAAAGTCTCCACAGAAGAACTGCCACCAATTTATAGAGCCAAGATCACATCTGCAAAGATTAAATATGCAGTTTCATTCATCAGTCCATCAGCTTGAAAAGAAACGTGGATAAAGGCATGGCACAGAAAGTTCCTGAGCGTCACAGCTGAGCTCAGCTCTCACAGTGGTATCATCTACACAGCTTGACAGTGACTGCAACACGAGCAGATGAAAGGACAACACTACAGTTAATACCAAACAGCATCAAAAACTCCTCGTCCCAGCCTTTGCTTTCTTTCCTTTATGGAAACATTGACAAGTTGTGACTTGCTGAATATTTTTAAGTTCTGTTTTATATCAAACACTATTTCTCAGAGAATACACAGTTTGAACATACACAAGTGATAAGAGAAAAACATAGGGCAGAAGTACAACAGATGGTACAGTTAGTCAATAATTTTCTTCATCATCATCAATCAGCTTTGGTACACGCTTCCCAAAAATACATATCTTCACACTCAAGTGACAGGAATTGGAATTAGCTTTTCAAGATTTTGCTTCCTCTAGCTCCTTCAACTCATCACGTCCATCCAGCCTTGTTTATTGACTGTACGATAGGGGCATCAGACCCATTGAGCAAGAGATCAAAGCCTCACAGCCCACCTGTTTATCTACAATGACTGTAAGAAAAACCTCCTCTCAAATATTTCTGAACAAGAAAACTGTTCCAAGAAAATTCAGCACTGCTGCAACCTTTCCTTCAAAGCATATGGAAAAATGATTCTGAATACACCTCTTTTAATGTTTCAAACACAGAACCCCTCTAAGTTATACAAAAAAAATTGGAGCAGAGAAGGGTGGAATGTTGTAACATCCTTCTGTTGTGGCAGAAGGGAACTGCCACTTTGCTTAAGTAGAAGCCAAGTTGGCTTTTGCAAGAAAAAAGAAGCAGTTCTACTTTTGTAACATTAATCATCTTCTCACTCAGCCTCTCCTATGGTAATCTTTGGGTTCAAATTCTTACTTATTTGTTTCCTCCCACTGTTGCCAAGTTTAAAATTATATTCATTACTCAGCCATTAAAAGGCTTTTGCTTCCTTTCAGCATCAATAGGCCTTTGATCATCAAGCAGTTCCCAGGAGTAAGCCTGATCTTTTCCTAAAGAACTGAGCCCCTGCAGCGCCCAGCGACTTTAGCAGGAACTGGGAACTCTAAGATGTTCTTCAAACATGACAGATCCTTCATAGACTGAGCCTAAA